CTGATAAAGACATTCTATGTGGCCTGAGTTTGAGATACCATATTTTTTAGTACGTAAGATATTAATTTGGTTCTTTCTTATACATTCTAATTGTTATTCAGTTCCCTATAGTTTCTATTATTTTAGCTAAATTTTCATTCTTTCCTGTTATGCAAAAACAGATTTTATTTTATGTTTTGTTACTGTACGGCTTTTTCTACTGTTAATATTGTCCTCCTTATTGGATTCAGAGACATCTAATTTTTTATTACCTTCCTAGTAAGAGAATATCTTGACACAGTTATTCTAGAAAGTAATGTGGCAAAAAAATCAAGTAATGCCTCTGCCTGCCTCTCAAGCTCAAGGACCCGAGTTCGATCCCCAGTATCAAAAAAAAAAAAATCAAATAATGTGCCAGTAAGAACATTTTTTATATATATACTTTACCTTATTAAATTAATTTCTAGAATATAATTATTGGAAATCAGTAGATGTATGAAAACATATTTAAGTACACACATTTTCACTGGCCCACTGCTAATATAGCAAAAAATGGAAAGCAATCTATGTGTTCAATAATTGAATCAACAAATATATTGTGATCTATTCTTATGATATACAGTTGTTCAGAACAATGACATTTTTAACAATTACTAAAGGAAAGCTCATGATAACATGGTAGAAGAAGTGTCCGACTATAAACAGTATGAATGTACATGCATTTGTCTATAACCATATATTAGCTGGGTCGCTCTGCCCTTTTAGTATAAAAATAAATTGGTTTTCAACCCTTTTTACAATTCTCTGAAAAGAGCAAGACCTCCTCAAGATTACCAGAAACCATTAGGGACTAGTGTATTTTTTTGCCATTTATGATTCGAACATTTTTATCCTATTAATGTCTCCATCTCATTTGCATCTCTCCTCCTATGGATCTTTTCTTCTGTCTACTACACACAGACACACACACACACACACACAAACACACACAACTGGGATAAAATATATTAACATTTGTCTATCAGACTTGTTGGGATTTTAAAATATTCAACTATTTTCATTTTATTCAATATTCTTTTCACTATTTTTATAAGATTATTGCATTTATTGTACTGATCCATTGGTAGGTTCTCAGATGAATGGGCTATTAGGAGGTGGGGCCTTTTCGAAGAAAGTAGGATGCTGGAGGCCTGACTTTGAAAGGTATATCTTGTTCTTGGCCCTCACCCATCACAACCCTCCTCTCTCCTCCTCTTCTGTTTCTTCTCTTCTCTTCTCTCTCTCTCTCCTCTCCCTCCTTCCTATGAGGCGAACACCCTCCTACCATGGTGAACACCCTCCTCTGTCAAATGCCTCACCATCATGATATTCTGCCTTGCCTTGGGTCCAAAGTAATGGAGCCAGTTGACTATGGACTGAAACCTCTGAACCCAGTAGCTGAAATAAACCTTCCCTCCTTTAAGTTGCTTTTCTCAGGTATTTTGTCACAGCAACAGAGAGCTGACTACCATGACCTCCAAACTGGAAACAACCCAAATATCTATCAACAGATGAATGGATATAGTCCATGATGGCATATCTATGCAATGGAATGCTACTCAGCAATAAAAAGGAATGAACTGTGTATCCATCAATATAAATGAATCTATGCTACATGTGTCCTTCCAAAATTCATGTTAGAACTTGAACCCAAAAGTGATGATATAAAGAAGCAGGGGCTTAACTGAGCATGAGCATGGTGATATGACCCTGTCATTACAGGTACTTGGAAAGCTGAGGCAGGAGGATTGCAAGTTTGAGGCCAGCCTGAGTAACTCAGCAAGACCCTGTCTTAAAATGAAATTAAAAAGAGCTTGGGCTGTAGCTCAGTGGCAGAGAGCTTGGCTAGCATGCACAAGGCCCTGGGTGGTCCAATCAGCAGAACTGCAAAAGGAGAAGGGAGGCAGCCTTTGGGGAAACGATAAACGTCCAAGGGCATGACCCTCATGAATGAGAGTATGACCTCATGAAAGAAGTTTTAGAGAGCTGCCTGGCCTTTTTTCCCCTTCCGTCTCTTCTGCCATGTGAAGATGCAGTGTTTATCCCTTTGGGCCCCTTCAGTCACAGGAAGATGCAGCAAGAAGACACCATCTGTGAAGCACATAGAAGCCTTCACCCAACACTGAATCTGCCATCCCCTCGATCTTGGGCCCCAGAACAGTGTGAGATAAACAAACATATCTCTGTTCATTATAAGTTACCCAGTGCCTTAGGCGAAATCCCTGAGCCTGGGTAATTTGGTGTCTGGTAAAGGCCTTCTCCTGCACACTCCAGAAGCGAGGGACACTCTTCATAGGTGAGTTAGCCAAATGACTAAGGACCTTAATCCCAGGTGTGAGAGAGGGACTCTCAAGGCCTATCCAACTCCCCATCCTAACACACGAGTGGCACCAGAATTCAGAGGGAACACCTTCAAGCTGCAGCAGCATGGGGTCTCAAGTGTTTTGGTATAGCAGCACAAACAGACTAAGGAAATCTCTGCATCACTTTGTTGAGTGAAAGGAACCAAACACAGAAGAACACTGATTATATTATTCTACTTATATAAAATTCTAGAAAATACAAACTACCCTGTAACAACAGAAGGCTAGTGAGTGGTTCCCTGGGGATGAGGAGGAAGGGAGAGAGACTGATAGAGGCTGAAGAAACTCTGATGGTAATGGACATGTTTACCACCTAGCTTGTGCCAATAGCTTCATAATTGTGTGTATGTGTGCGGTAAGAGGGGGAGAAACCTTATCAAATCATGTGCAATTTGCTGTATGCCAAACATACCTCAATAGATTTGATTCTTTTTGAAAAGAACATCTACAAGTAAAAAGACAAACAACTGCATAAAATTGGGCAAATTATTTGAATAGGCATATTAAAAAGAAAAGTACAGAAATGGCCAGTGAGAACATAAAAACATACTGATGTGATTAGTCATCAGGGAAATGATCGTTGAAATCATAATGAGATACCACTTTACACCCACTTGAATGGATAAAAATAAAGGCTGACAACCCCAAATGTTAATGAGGATGAGAAAGAAAGTGAATGCTCATACATTTCTGGTGGGAATATAAATTGCACAACCACTCTGAAAAACATTCTGGTTGTTTCTAATAAAACATACAACTCTCTTATGATGTGGCAATTCCCCTCCCCGGTGTTTACAAAGAAAGATCAAAGCGTATGTTTACACAAAAATGTGTACATGAATATTTATATAGTAGCTTCATTTATAGTAATGCAAACTGGAAATAATTCAGGTAACAAGTTGATAAATTAATAAAACAACTGATGTTTCCATACAATGGGAAATTACTTAGCAATGAATGGAAAGGAGCACAGACATGTTCAACAACATAGACAAATCTCAAAAACATCATAGTCAATGAAAGCATACAGACACAAAACAGTATATACTATGATTCCATTCATATGGAATAGTAATCGGCAAATAGGCCAAAGTCATCTATTGTGAGGAAAATTGGAACAGTGGCAGCCTCTAGGGAATGTGGTAGAGATGAACAGGGAAAGGGCACAAGGAAAATTTCAAGGCTGTTGGTTAGGTTCTGTATCCTATAGGGGTCTGTCATATGCATTTGTCAAAACTTACTTAAAGGGCACTTAAGATTTGTGCACTTTGCTAAGTATAAATTATACCTTCAAAGCATGAAAAAAGTCTTAAATGGGGATCTCTAGTTAATGTTATGTGTGCTGAAGTGTTTAGAAGTGAAGTGTGCCTGATGTGTGATGATATCTTGTGTCTTATTTTGAAATGCACCTGTGAAATATGGACACTTGGACAATCAAGCATGATGCTAATTGTAGGCTGTTAGTGATTGCTACATGGATACAATCCTTTCAGTTGTTCTGTATATGGCAAAGCTTTCATAATATGATGTAGAGACAAAATGAGAAAAATGTTGTCTAATGGGTAAAATTGTTATAATTAAGAAATAGGTTATAAGCATTATTGCTAATAATGCAGGAAACAATGCTTATTAATAAAAATTGAAAAGAACCAGCTCAGTACTGGGCTCCATCTTTCCAATCTCTCTTCCCTGTTGCTCACGCACACCAGCTGTGTTTTCCTTTTGATCCTGGAATATGCCAAGGTTCTTCCTGACCCCGAGGCTTTGTACTTTCCTCTGCGGCTGCTCCGACCTCACTGCAGCCCGCTCCACAACCCCATCACCACTCCCGAACGTCATTTCAAGTGACATTCTTCGAAGTTCTCAGCAGCCTCCTTAGGTGTTCGCCCTTGGTCCTTGCTTATTACTGGCTTCCTAAAGAAATCAGGATCTTCAGGTAAGTGGTAACTTGTGTCCCAAGGGCTTAGCAGAACGCAGGGCTGTGCTATGTTTTACATTTCTGGTAACTAGGGAAACAAACGAGTCATCTGGAAGTGGCCGTCATCTGCGTCCAGTGCCTCTGACCCAAGGATCCTGTGTTTTTGCATTACAGGAAGACCTGCGATTTTGAAGTTAGATCAAGGATTTCTTCGTTGGCTGTACTCCCCCAAACACACCCGTACATACTGTACACCCACAGAAACTCTAGGTTGCCAAATGTGTTCCCTCTTAGGACGGATGGGGCTGAAGTCAGGTTTTGCTCACAGCTGTACTCTCTGGCACTGGGGGGCTCAGGGCATGACCGTGTAAGGCGTTCCGACCCCTGAGCTTAGCCCTCTGTCGCTGACCTACGCACCCGTAGCCCACCACCATCCTTAAGGTGCCCAAGGGAGTGGGGTCCTTTCCGTTCCTCATTCTCTCCTTCGTCTACGGGGCGGCTTGTTCGCTCGTTCATTCACTCATCATTGGTACACCCACTTTGCCTGCTCCCCGCGGTCTCGCCTGGCCCACCTCTCTGCCTCGCCCGCCCTATCTCCGCCCCCTTCCCTCCCGCCCCCTTTTTGGACCAATCGGAGCGGACAGGCCGGGCGGGACAGAGTCTGGGGCGGGGCCTCGCTCCCCTAGTATCCCTGGCGGCGCCCCCGGCTCCGGAAACGCGCTGCTGGGCTGCAGGGCTCAGACGGGCGCTCGGGGCTCCGCGGCGCTCCCTGCCACGCCGGACCTGCTTGGGCAACGCCAGCTCCCCTCTGCCGAGGGCCGCACCACGGTTGCCGCCGGGCCTGGGTGAGCGTGCCTACCGCGGGAGAGTGTGCTGGCCGAGTGATGGTGCGGGAGGCGGGAGGCGGGACGCGGGACGCGGGACGCGGGAGGCAGGAGGGACGCGCGAGCCCCAGTGATTGTGAGCGAAGCGGAAGGATGTGCGGGGCGAAGTGAGCGTGCGGGACCCGTGGCGAGAGGATGTGCTGATCTAGGGTGCGTGTGCGGGCCGCGGGAGAGCCTGCGAGGGAGGGGGCGTCTCAGCCCTGCTGCGGGCCCTTGGCAGAAGGGGACGGGTCTCTGATAGCGGGGACGACGAGGCCCGAAGGCCTTCTCGCGGCGGGCAGGGGGCGGCGGTCAAGGGCCGGAATCGCGGATCTGCGGAGGCCTACGCTGTTCTACGGAGGACACTGCTGGGTCGGAGGTGAGAAAGAGGACCCCCTCAGCGCCCCAAGTGCCAAGGAGGGGGGCTTAAAGGACTCGTCTCCAATATGAGGGAGGGGCTGAACCCCGATCCCTGGTGCTGGTGAGGGTTCCAGCTGGGGGCGTCCCTCCTTTCCATTTGCTTGAGGGTCGAGCATCAGCTTGGCAAGAGAGTGGGAACCACAAGAGCTGGGATGGGGGCCATGAGGAAGTGAGCAGCCCCTGCTTGGTGAAGGGAGCTCAAGCCCCCTCCGGGGCTTTTTCTCTTGCACTTCTGGGGTCCGCGGTCTCCCGCTGCACCCCACTGCCCCCTCCCCTTCAAGTCCTCTGCTGTCCCTCCAGTCTCTTTTTGGGTGACTTTAGATCTTCATACCATGCATACCCTCACTCACCTGCTGCCTAAAGCCCACAGTCTCCCCAGTGCCCCTCTGGCAGTTCCTGGCCCTCTTCCCAGCCATCATTGGCCTAGCCAGGCTGGTGGCCCCTCTCCAGTCTCCTCGGTCAGTGAAACATTTCCTGTTCAACCTCAGCCCCGACATTGTCCTCTGAAAGTGGGTTTCACGGGCTTGACAGAATAGCACCCCCTCTGGGACCAGGGCTGCCCCAGCCTCCCCCCACACACACACACCCGGGGCCTCTCCCTGCAGCAACTTGCACAGTGTCTGGCACACTTTGGTGCATTCCCCAAAACTGTTCCCAGGTCTATATTTGGAAGCCTATGGAGCAGTGATTTCTAGCCTTCCTCTGGCGAGAGACCCCTCAGAAGATCTAGAAAGTGTGAAGTCTTCCCAGAAGTCTGACTGGCAGCCCGGGCTCCATGGGTTCCCATCTGAGGAGGCACCTGGGCAGGAGCCTTGTGGGATGTGAGCTAGAGATGACAGAGCCTACACACACTAGTGTCCACATCAGAGTCCCCTGGAGGACTTGTTGGAAAATGCAGATTCCAGACCTGCTGCCACTCTGCCACTTGAGTTCTTGCTGAACTCCAAGCAAGGTTCCTGACACAATAACTAAGCCCTTCCAAACCTGCCAGGGATCCTTGGGTGGCCCAGGGCCCCTTGGGATTCCCACAGCATCCCACCCTACACTTGGTTTAGAATCTAGGCAGTGTAGCCTCAATGAGGCCAGACTTACAATTTATTTTGATTTTTAGTAGGACACCATGCGTCTTCTTGGGGAAATGAGAACATAAACCTTTCCTCAATTAAGTACAACAAACACTACAAAATCTCCTTCTGGTCTACCTTCTGGCTTTTTATAGAAGTGAAAGAAGATGGAAACCTAAACAGAGAGAGAGACAGGTGCCCAGGCAAAGTGAGAGAGGAAACAGATGCCTTCCCACCCACACACACAGAAAAAGGCACACACAGACACAAATATCCCAAGAGAAACAGACTTTCCTGGTGAGACGCCCTCTGTTTTGGCCCATCACGATTCTGCTACTTCAGTGTAGAGGCCAGCTTGCACAGAGAGGGATAGACCCGAACCGGGCCTGCCAGGTCGATTGAAGGTCAAGGTCAAGATGGGCTTCAGCCCAGGGGCCAGCTCAGCTCTCACATCTTGGCCCACTGGGTGCACTGGGACCTCTGGCATGGCCTGCCCTGCCACTGAGCATTTGCTCTACAGCAGGACAGGTTCCTGGAAGGTAGGTACACGTGAGTTTGCTTCTGTTCACCTGGATTATTTCAACCCAACAGGTGGGACCGTACCTGCTGGACTAATCCCTTGCAATTGTTCTGAGACATGATGAGTTATCCCTGTGTGTCTCTTTGGGGTAAGTCTAGATGTTTGCAGAAAGCCTGTGGGTGGGAGTACAAGATGGTGAAGAGTGTTGTTCTGCTTCTGGAAGCTCTTATATTTCCATATATGCAAGCGCTGCTCAACAGTCTCTGCCCAGAGACGGTTCTCACAGTCCTAGAGACATAGCTCAGGAGAGAGAAGGTGCCCAGTAAGGAGGGTTAGGGGTCCAGGTGATCAGCAGTGGGCGGGAGAAGGAGCTGAAGGCGCCCATCTGAACTAGATCTCTTGTGAGTATTTCTACCCTTCCGGGCATATTTGCTCTAGCCCAGAACTAAACCACACACTGCAAGACACCTATTGTTTTCTGGCTAGACTCAGGCTACACAGCCTGAGAACATTCTGCTACAGGTCCTTAGTTAGGGGCTCAAGGAACTCTAGGTGTTTGGGGCACACCTTGGAAACTTCTGGAAGCTGTCAGCCAAGTCTCCTTTGAGTGGCCTTGCTGCTGCTCCCACACCCCCCTCCACTGCCCAGGGAAGAGCGACACCTGCCCAAGGAGGTCAATTGGCTATTTTAGGATGCAATCTCCTTGGCTCAGAAACTACCTTTGCTGGAAGCCAGACATCATTAGGGTATCCTAACCTCAAAGGCGACCAGAAGCCATTGAATTATTCCCCACTTTTTCTGACATGAGTTGGTTTTTGTCGCTGTTGAATTCAACTCTCAATTTCTGTTCTTCCAGATCAAATTAAAATGGTTTATTTTCTGGGTCTCTTAGTGTTTCTAATTCCATGCAATAAATTGAAGTAAGTTGGTTGCTTCCACGTTACACTGGGATCTACAGCACACTACAGGAAGGTTTGTTCACTTGCACAAGCTCTCAAGTTTTAGAAAGCATACGTTTCCAAATTGTCTGGCAGCAGGTGAACGAACACAGGCACCATTGTGCTGAATGTAGTCAAACAACAGATACTTGTTAGACAGCTGCAGCGCACATGGCCCTTGGCTGGGTCCAGTGTGGAATCCGCAGTTGACTTTGACTGGGCCAGTGCTCTCTGGAAGTTGATAGCTTTTAGCTCATCTTTAGATCCCAGTCAAAGAAGGAGTTGGAGATTTGTTTTCCCATAGTGTTTCCCTCTGCTTCCATTTCCCAGTTGTGAGTAGGAGTACACTTTACAAGTCTGGGTTGTGGCCTTCTGGTCTGAGTGAAAGTGCTGCATGTCCAAGGTCAGCAGGACTCTCTGTACCCACTGGGCACACTACAGTGAATTTCATGTTCTATCTGGAATTGACCTTGATCCCCAATCCATTTCAGAAAGCAGTGGACACCTGCGTTTGTCATTTTTGTTATAACGTCCAGCTTCTTTTCCAGATTAGTTCCATCATTTTAAAGTAGAAAAGTTGTGCACCATGGATTCTAAGTGATCCAATTGTCTTCAGGATCAAAGATAATTTTATTTTTAACTTCAGTAGGGATTAATATATGTTACCTTTTTTCTTAATTATCTTCCTTCACTTTTTATGAAGCTCTTTTACCTGGTACACACAGTTAATTATGTGGAGTTGAGCTTCCTTTTCTGAAAGTATAGCCTGTTTTTTTTCCTCCCATTCATATTAGTGCCTTCTAAATTAGCTCTGTGTATCTGTGAGCTCCGGTACTGTGGTTGATGATCACATGGCCATCAAGAGCTGAAGGGCTCTCAGGCCAAATCCGTTGGGAGAGCTGGTCCAGGAAGGGCCACTCCTGTTGCTACATGGGAAAGGGGCAATTAGCAATTCATTTGGGGGTTGTGGCTCCAGGATTTCAACAGTTAATCATGCCAATTAAGTGAAAACACTTTGGTAAGATTCACTCAATTAAATGGAAACTTCAGGAGGATTTGGTCAATTAAAAGTAGGTGGCTTGGAAGAATTCTGTGTATGTGTGCAGTGATTTTTTCCTGAGTGAGAGAGAAAAGAAAGAAGAGGAGGGAAGAGAGAGAAAGAGAACAATGCACGTGTCTTGCACGGTGAGGGTTTCCAGTGGAATGTTAATAGGGCAGTTTAAGTGCAGCCCTCAACACCTATACATACCACTAGGCTTCCAGGATTCCCACGACCAGCCTGTGTTCTGGGATGGCCTGGCACTACAGGGTAGCATATTATGTCTTTCTACTCTGGTGTTCAAAAAGTCAAGTCTTAGGAGCTGGACTTTAAGCAAGCCACTTTTCTTCATGGGTCCATGGTTTCCTGCTCTGTAAAACAGAGGTGGTAATAATCGAAGCTTGTGATAATTAAATTATTGAAAAGGAGTCGTGCAGCTCCAAATGTGCGTTCCAAGTGCTCTGCAAATGGAAGTCCACTCCATTTACACACTTGCATCCAGCTGTGCTGCGACACATTACACATATATGCAAACTTGGTGCCAGGGACTCTAGGGTGACCAAGAAAGCCAAGGCCCTGTCCTGCTGGAGCTGGTATTTTTCCTGGGAAAAGGAAGCAACTTCACAGAAGAGGTTTTAGTTAGTGAAAGTGTCCTGAGTAACCTAGGATAGGGCTAGAGGGTGAAGAGGTTCAGGGGGACAATGAGTTGAGCTCTGAATTATTAGAAGGCGCCTCCTGTTATAAGCTGTGGGGCCGGAACTGTTGGCAGGTGCATGGGCCTTTAAGACCGCAGCCTTGGCATATCCAGAAGTGCGTGAAGGCCAGTGTGTCTGGGCAGAGTGACTGAGCCAGGCCAGGGCAGCACCTGTGATTGGTGAGCTGGGCCAGGGCCTTGTGGGGAAGGCAGGGCCTTAGGTCAATGGCCCGAGGTCAGAGGGAAGAGGTCCGTCACAGGTCCTTGTTCTCAAAAAGTACAGACAGGACACATGTCCCTCTTTCTGTTCCAGTTGGCAGCCAAACATCAATTTCAATTGGAGATTAATTTTTAAATAAGTTATGTAAGTAACTTATCTCCAGTTTATTTTATGTGGGAAGGGAAACTCAACTAGATAATGAATGTGTGTCCATCGGGCCAGAGTGGCCCTGCCTTGGGGACACTGGGACATCTAGAGGGAGGGCCTGCCTGCTGAGCACCTATAGATGAACGAGGAAATTGCGGGGAGGGGGTGTGCCTGTGCTGGGATCCTAGGGCTAGCTGAGGCCTTCTGCTCACATGCATGAGCTGGCGGCTTGCAGAGAGGACCCCAGGGGGTCTGTCTCGAGGGGGCCCTCCTACCTTATGCTTGCTTTGCCCTCATGAGCATCCCAGGAAACGCTGATCTTCAAAGCCCATCTTGGCCGTGCATGTGAGCAGAAGGCTGGGCCTCAGCCTTTGTCCTCCTGCATGCCCAGTGTCTTCCTTAGCCACACTTTGCCCAAAGCTCTTCCAGCTGTTCTCTGCTGCCAAGGAAATGCAGCTTGCTGCTTGCGAATTCAACATAGAAACAGCAAGCCGGCTGCTCCAGACACTCACTCTCCCCTGGTGGCTGCGTGCACACTGAAGGGTGGGTGTGCTTGTTCTAGCTACAGGTCACCCTCCGTGGGTCTTTTCTCTGAAAATGCAAATATATACTTAGCTGTCTTCTTCCCTTCCTTTACCCTCTTTGAGTTTTCAGTGAAGAGTTATGATGGCTGCCTACATCTTCCATGAAGAATTCATATTTTTGTAATCTGCACATTGTTTTACATTGGTCATCTGGTGAATTTATAATCAAACTCTCCAGTTTACTTCTTGGCCTGAGTCCTAGGGCTCTACAGTAGTATCGCCAGAGCTCCAAATCACATTTATCACTTCCCCTCTCCCCCTGCATACCTTTTTTATGGCTTTGGGACTTTTTAAAATTCTTCCTATTAGTTGTGGTGTGTGGTGTTCCATCCTTTTACCCTATCCATGTCTTTATCTTTAAAGTTTCTCATGGAGAATACATAGTCGTCTTGTTCTTTTAATACAGTCTAACATCTGCCTTTTGATTAGAGTGTTTAGTCCATTTATATTTAACTTAATTATCCATGTGGTTGAGTTTAAGTTTGCCATCCCACTATTTACTTTCTATTTGTCCCATCTGCTCCTTTTTCCTCTACCTTTCTTCTTTTGGATATTTTTAGTGTTGTATTTTATCCCCACATTGGCTTACTAGCATGCACCAGCATCTTAGAAGGTTTGCTAAAACACTCAGTCATATGTTTCACTTCTGCATGTTATAAACCTCACATTACCCTGTTGCTATTTTTGCTTGAAATAGTCAATTATTTTTTATAAAAAAATTAAAATGAAGAAGGTAAAAGTGTGGGCTATTTATTTCCCTGCATATTTATATTCCTGATGTTTTTCATACCTTTGGGTAGCCCCAGCTTTCCATCTGGTTTCATTTTCCTTCTACCTGGGAAACTTCCTTCAATATTGCTTTCTCTTTTTTTTTTTTTTTTTCCATTTTCTTTGCTTTGTTGGTTGCTTGGTTGGTTTTTTGTGACAGAGTCTCGCAGAGTTGCCCAGCCTGGACTCAAACTTGTGCTTCTCCTGCCTCAGCTTCCAGACCCCTGCGATTATAGGCATGTGCTACCACACCTGGCTCTTGCATATATCTTAAGGTACAGAACTCTTGGTGACAGATTCTCTTGGCTTGTCTCTCTCGTCAGAAAAATATTTGTTTGCTTTCGTTTTGAAGCCTATTTTTCCAAACATAGATTTTCAGATTGGCAGGGCTTTTTTCTGTGCAGCATTCAGATGTTTCATTGCGCTTTGTTTCTGGCTTCAAATGTTTTTGCGTGAGAAGTCACTGACTTGTCTACTTTCTTTCTTTTTTTTTTTTTTTTTTTACTGTCTACTTTTTGTTCCTCTGTGTACAGCATCATCTCTTTCCTCCGGCTACTTTTATATCTTTTCATCACCGATTTTCAGAAACTTAATCACAGTGATGTACCTTTCTATCTGAAATTCATTTGCTGTAGTTTCTAGTGCTATGTCTCCAGGTTATCTGATTTCTTTTCAGTGTCTGATCACACGCAGTGAAATTTTTAATTTAAATATTGTTTTCACTTCCAGACATTCCATTTGGTTCTTTTTGTATCTCTATTTCAAATCATACTCCTATTTTTCTTTCAGCACTTATACATAGTTAAATTGTGTTTCCTTGTTTGTGAGTTCCGTCATCAGTTCTGGATATTTGTTATTCTTGCCATAGGTCACACTTTTTTTTTTTTTTTGGTACCGGGGATCGAACTCGGGTCTTTGCACTTGCATAGCAGGCGGTGAGACCACTGAGCTAAATCCTCGGCCCTAAGGTCACACTTTTGTGCTGCTTAGCATTTCAGTAATTTGGGAGTGGATGTTGTACACTGTCAGGATTATGTTCTTGAGCATCTGGACTTTGGGAGGTGGATCAACACGATCCCTTTACGGCCTGCTTTTGAAGCCTTGGTAGGGCAGGTCTTTGTCCCTTTGGCTGTAAGGACAGAGCCTCCTTACTAGTGAGACACAGCCCCTCTGTATTTTCTGCTGAGACTCTAGGCTGGTTGGGCAGACCTGGAACATCTCCCTCCTTTGTGTATCCTGGGAATCGTCTGGCTTAGAGCTTCCTGGTCCTTCTTTTCCCAGCCCTTGGGAGTTTCACTCTATGCTTCCATGGCTTAGCTGACAGTAAAGAGTCAAGGGAAGCCTCCTGCAGACTGCCTGCAGCTCTTTTTCTGCATGGCACACCCTGTGCTGGAACCCCAGCTGCCCTGAATGCTGGTCAGTGTCCCTCAACTTGGTGAAGCCACTAAACTCTGTCACATTTCACCCTCACACTCTCAGTATGGACACTGCTTCCGGGCCAAGAGCTGAGGCCATGACAGGACTCGCCTTGGTTGTTTCTCCCGGGGACCCTGACCCCATGCTTCCTACTGAAACTGAATGCTGTTGTTTCACATGCATTTTCTTCAGTTTTCTACTTGGTTATGGCAGAATGTGAAATCTGTTCCTTGTTACTCTATCATGGCCATACTTGGAATTTTAGCTCCATCATGGCCATACTCAAAAGTGTCTGCCCATCCCTTTTAAAGTAGCATCTTCAAGTTTATGTAAAAGTCATGGTGGAGCACCTGGCTTTTGTAGTCTTGAGCTGGTATTAAAACGCTTCCTTTTCACTTAATGCTGAGTCGAATGGCGTTGACATCAAAACATGAACTGTGTGGCTGTCTCTTTGAACTCACTGAAGTGGTAGGCCCTTAATGGGAGGCATCTACTGTAGGATCTGAGAATATTTCACTCATTTTGCAGTTTGGAAGAAAGGGTAACTTTTCATTGTTCTTCAGATTTTTATTTAGCAACTAAAGTGTTTGAAGATCTTTGCTTTGAGGCTTGTGTTTGCAGTTGTCTTGGGTAGCTTTTCATTTTGTTGAATATGTAAAAGAAAGGTTCTCACCTACAGCTGCCGCTCCCACCTGGTAAATCTGTTCAGTGGGGAGTGGCTTTGTAGAGTGCCCGGCTGGTCAGGGCAATGCCGATGTGCCTGCTTTTTGCTGCCTCTTCACTCTAGTGGCCTATGCCACCTTTGCATTGCCTGCTAGGCAGCCTGAAGGGACACTGCATCTCCCAGCTGTTGCTTCGTGTGTTCTTTTGGGCGCACTTCCGTCTCCTGCCCTTGGCTCTCTGGCTCTGCTTGGGCTCACGTGCATTTGGCCTGCCTGGATTCATTCTTCCCGCTGCTGGAGGTATGTTTTCTAGGCCTGCCTTTCAGCCAGCACAAGAGAAAAGACTCAAGAAGATTTAAAACCAGGGAACAAGAAATCGCCAGTCCTTCCCAGGGGACCCAGAGACCGTGCTGTTGTCACTCATGGCTTTTTCCACTTTCCTTAGCTCCACCTGCTCCCCAAGGTCTTGCCCTTCCCCAGGATGGAGCCCCGGGAAACCAGGTCCTGGCAGCCCCTCTTGAGATGCTGGAGGCCCAGGTGAGCTGTGCTTCCCTCCACCTTGCTCACTGATTCTGGCCTCAGCCTCTGCCTCTTGCCCAGCATGACCCTGACTGCTACCTTCCTTCCCACCCTCTACTTCTCTCCTGGAGGCTGCCAAGGAATGGATGCCCACTGGGCTTGCAGTGCCCATCGAGATACAGGTGGGAGAGCTGAGTTGCCCTTTGGCTGTGTGACTGACTTGTTGTCCTCTGGGCAGGCAGCTGTCCCAGGGCAGCAGCCCAGATCTCCTGGTGCTCGGTCATGTGCTTTCTCTAGGACTTCTCGGGGATTGTGCTTGGAGCTCTGCATTAGTAACACACATGCTCCAGGCCCTCACCTCTTGCCCTTGGCATAATTTGTGCCGCCCCTGCCTCGTTGTAGACTAGATGGAAAGCCAGGTTATCCCTGGGAATTCTTTCAGGGTTTGGTGCCGTCTGGTGATGCAGTGCAGTACCTCACAGAAAGAGAGTGGCTGAAGCTGGACCCTGAACAGAGGACACTGGCATATTACGGGCACGTGACTTCTGTGGGTAAGGATGCCCCAGCCCTTGACCAGACTCACCACTGCCGGGGCTCAAGCTGGGAGAGGGGCTCATCTTGTCCCTCGGTTATAGGGACATGCAAAAGTGTGGCCACACTTGACATCTCCGAGTGGCATGAGCTCCCTGAACTCTTCATTCATAGATGGAATCCACCTCAGTCTTTTGCTGGAAAGAAATTGGAAAAAAGCTGCCACTATAATTGAGAATACTTTTTAACCCACAAATGATACCAATTGCATGGCCATTTGATTGGAGTCCGCTATTGAGAGAGGTGGACATAATCAAGCTCTCTTGTTCATCCATGGGGCCCTGCATGGAGGGCAGGGTTAGGAGAGCATGTTGGAACTTGGGTTTGGGAGGTGTGGAAGTCCCCGGGTCTGGGAAGATGTGAGTGTCGGTGTGTGGACACTGCAGGGTGGAAAGTGGGGTAAGGGCCAGCTCTTCGCAGTGGCCACCTGATGTGGCACTGGAGTGCCCCCAAGGGATCCCAGAGCCTGGCTTCCTCCTGCACTGGCTCCACATGAATGATTTGCCTGAGGTCACAGCCAGCTCAGTCTTTGAGAATCAGAAAGGGGGCCCCTTTGAAAGCTTCACTGTGTTCCTCCTTCCTCACATCTTCTGTGCCATCTCAGTGACCCTTTCTTTTCCCACAAGCAGGAGTGCCCATTTTGCATCCTACCTTGACCTCCCACCTGGCACAAGGACAAGTCCTGTTGGTGTCAGACCCTTCCCTCAGCACGGAGCAAGCTAAGCGCCCCGGTGAGTGGAAAAGAAACCCAAAGAAACGTGTAGAAGTTGGGAGGGGAAGCTCAGCCCAGCTCTGGGGGTCGAGGTTAGGACTGGGAACATGGGCCAAGCCTGCGGGACCCAGGGTTAGGGCTGGGGGAGGGGTCGTGTAACCAGGCCCCTCCCACCCTTCCCTCTGGTGCTTGCTCAGCAGCCGCAACAGGGGGATGAGGCTTATGGACAGGAGAGTCACCTCCTTCCTGTGCCCCTCATGTCTGTCCTTTCAGAGAGCACCTCTGTGACCTGCCACCGGAGGATGGGTGAAGAAACCCAGCCACAGGAAATGACATCCGTGAGCTCCCCCAGGGCCGATGACCCCAGGGCCGAGGGCAGGGGAGGGTGCCCACAGGACCTGCCTATAGAACACCACTTTGCATGTAAAGAGTGTGGGGCCACCTTTCGGCTGAAAGTCCTCCTCGTGCAGCACCAGCGGGTTCACAGTGAGGAGAAGGGGTGGGAGTGTGGCGACTGCAGGAAGGTCTTCAGGGGGGCGGCCGAGTTCAATGCACACAGGCAGAGCCACGTGGCCGCTGAGCCCCGGCCTGGCCCCAGCTGGGCCCTGGAAGACGCCAAGGCAGAGCGGAGGGAGCAGCTGGAGAGGGAGGCGATGCCCTTTGAGTGTGAGGAGTGCGGGAAGAGGTTTAAGAAGAACGCGGGCCTCAGTCAGCACCTTCGCGTGCACAGCCGCGAGAAGCCCTTCGACTGCGAGGAGTGCGGGCGCTCCTTCTCCGCACACACCCACCTCTTCCAGCACCAGAAGCTGCACACCGCCGAGAAGCCCTTCGCGTGCAAGGCGTGCAGCAGGGATTTCCTCGACCGCCAGGAGCTGCTCAAGCACCAGCGCGTGCACACAGGCCACCTGCCCTTCGACTGCGACGACTGCGGCAAGTCCTTCCGCGCCGTCAACGGGCTGGCCGAGCACCAGCGCATCCACAGCGGCTCCAAGCCCTATGGGTGTCTGCACTGCGGCAAGCTCTTCCGCAGGAGCTCGGAGCTCACCAAGCACCGGCGCATCCACACTGGCGAGAAGCCCTACGAGTGCGACGAGTGCGGCAAGGCCTTCCGCCAGAGCTCCGGCCTGCTGGAGCACGCTCGCATCCACAGCGGAGAGCGGCCCTACATGTGCGGGGAGTGCGGCAAGGCCTTCCGCGGACCCTCCGACCTCATCAAACACCGGCGCATCCACAGTGGACTCAGGCCCTACGAGTGCGACAAGTGCGGCAAAGCCTTCCTCAGGAGCTCGGGCCTGAGCCGCCACCAGCGCATCCACAGCGGGGCGAGGCGCTGCGTGTGCAGCGAGTGCGGCCGCGTGTTCAAGAGGCGTTCGGCGCTGCAGAAGCATCAGCCCACCCACCGCGAGTAGGGCCGTCCCCAGAGGCCAAGGTCGGGCTCAAACGAGATGAACAGTTTCGTAGGGCCGATCTATTTTATCGTCTGAGAGGTCAAACCGATTTCCACCGCCACCAGCAATTTCTACGTGTCCGTGTTTCCCGTTATGCGCAGTGAGAATAGCTTTTCCCATTTTAACTTAGTTTGGCTAGTTTGCCTGGCACAGGGTGCCTTCAGGGTACTTCAGTCCTCACGCCTTGAATGACAAGAGAAACGTGGCTGGGGGGTGGGGTGCTGGGAGGTCCTCTACTCCAGGCTCTGCCCCCACGGGAAAAGATTACCCCAGAAGATTTATGGCCTACTTGGATTTATAAATGTTTAGGGATGTAAATAGAATAAGTACTCAAATGTCTTATAATATTTAACTTATTAATTTAGTTCTACATACATAATGTAAATCACATATGATATAGAATAATATATTAATTTAGAAAATACGCCTTTTTGCCACACTCCGTTTCCTGAAATGTTTTATCCTAACAACTCATACACTCACCACGGGAGCCCTTTCAGTCACCAGTCTTGGCACATCCGGTCACTTCTATCCGGGCTTTGCATGGCAGCACTGTGACAATCTCCACATAAGGCTCTCACCAGAAACTTCCTCCCAGGCCATAATAACACATTCATATAACAATAAGACAGTTGTTTTGTGTGTTTTTAATTAGTCCTGTAACTCTGCAACACAACCACTTAGGGTGGTGCTTTTTCAAATGACCTTTTAAAAGGCTGTTTTTTAAGCATCTGATCCGTTGTTCTGAGGTCATACTCCTGGTAAAAATTAATCAAGGTTAAATGTTTTTGCCTCTTTTTTTTCCATAATCCAATTCAATTTGGTGACTCCTATACCTACCTGAAATAAGCATCATCGGTGGCATTCCGCCTAATGGGTCTTGTCCTCAAGCAGCACCATTGTGTTTGAAAAGAAGTAGGCAAGAGAGAAGCCCCAAATAAGAGGGTGTCTTCAAGACTCAAGGGTAAGGTAGCACCACTTTGATGGGAGCAAGAGCCTCTCCCAGTATTGGGCTTCAATGGTACTTCTCCAACCCTCCGGCTTATAGCTCTGCCAACATGGGGGCAGGGGGCAATCCCAGTACCTCCTTCCCAACTCTGTCAGAAGGAACAGCCCCACTGCCTGCCTGGCAAGAAGGTACACACCCAGTGAAGGTCATCTGCTGTCATCGTCATAGTTATTGCTGTCATTCTACAGCTCATTAATGCCACACCTGGGGATGGAACCCAGGCCTCCTGAGTACTAGTGTCATCTTTTTTGTGTGTGTGACAACCTAAATAGTACTTCTGTTTGCTTGCATGCAATTGTACGTTCATCTCCTTTGACTGGTTACCAAGTTACCTTTGGATATATTGACTCTATGTAGCAGTTCTTTCTATATCAATTGTGATGTTCTCTTTTCCAATTTTATTGCTTTGCTCTTTATAGCACTTTTTATTACATTTTTGTTGTGCAAGCTCTTGATGATTTTTACATATCCCAGTAGTGGTTTTGTAGGTCGTAACTTTCATTGCATCAGTACTTAGATAAGATGACATTTTCTTCTGGAATTTTAATTACAAACAGAAGTCGAAACCCTGCCCACCAGAAGGTGAATCCATCAGGTGGGTGGGCCAGATAGGAATGGGCCTGAGAAGCAGGCCCGTTCTTCATTCAGATGCAGACTCTGTATATCTGCGGGCAGCACTTGACTATCCAACCCAGCCACTGAGGCATACTAGAGATACGTCCATCACGAGCAGAGCACTCCGTGACTGCTCATCGGACAACCCTGGCCACAGCAGCAGGGCTTGGTGCACACTGTATACGCACTGGGCCTGGCAGCAGCCAGCCCACCTCCGAGCTCCCGAGAACCTTGGCAATGGATTCAGTGACTGAGCAGCAGATCCACCAAAGCAGCATCTCCTGGGACACAAGAAGACTCACCTGAATGATCTTCCTCCCAGCGAGTGACTCTGGTTTGGTGGCCTCTGCTTTGGGCAACTAGGGAGCTATTTGCCCACCTATGCTGGTGTCACCTTCCGAAGTCACACCTAAGATGAGTGACAGAACAGAAGTTTGGAGAGAAACTCTGTTGCTGATGGCCTGTGTGTCAATTCTGACAGAAGCTGGCTGCACAAGGCTGGGGCCAGGACTGCAGTAGCCATGTCCACGAGGGGCAGTGAAGCAAGGGTAACAGCAATCAGGCCCTTCTGGTGGCTCTGAGGCATAGAAATAGAAGCTGTCCATCCTGGGGCTGGGCGTCACTGGTGGCAGCCTTCCCCAGGAAGAACAGCAGCAAGGGCTGGCCAGGAAGCTGGCCATGCCAGGCCTGCGGCACCACCTCCCAGCCACTGTGCCCCGGGGGGCGCTGGAGGCCAGGCGCTGCAGCAGACATGCAGGCACAGCCAGGAAGGGCCTCCCAGGCCCCTTCCTGGGAAGTAGGGTCTGACAATGATTCCTGTGACCTTGGCCAGAAGGTCCTCCCCAAGAGCCCCCAGGCGACCACAGTGGCCCCATGGGATATCTCCATCCTGACCTCCAGGCTGGAGAGAAACCAACACACCTGTAACATAGCGATTCCTTTTGCTCTGGGCTCTGTTCTTGCAGTAGTTGTGAATCTGTCTGAACTCACTACTTTCTCTGATCAGTTTTCTCTTTTCAAGCTGTCAGGGCATGTTTTGTATAGCTGTCATTTGGGTAAGGAATGTTGACGTGTACCAGGGCCAAGTCTGAGCACCTTTACCTTGAAAGATTCTGCCGTTTCTTTGACCATTCAATTGGTCATTTGTCCAGCTGGATATGAAGGGTTCCACTGAAGTCTAGATTAACATTAACTCAGCATATAGCATAGTGGTCACTGCTCCCAGCCAGAACTCGGCACGTTGACTTCCCTTCTTGCCCTCCTTGGTACTTTTTTTCTGTGTGGTACTTTTTTCTAGTTTGGGCTGTATAATATTCTCTCAAACAAATCCTCATCTAAAGTTAACACTAATGATCATGTCTTTTACTTCACTGTTGACATAGTGGCTTTCCATGGCATTGGCAGTGAAGTCTGCATGCTTCAAATGCAATCAGTCTGTGGCTTTCACATGTGTCCCATAGCTTCACCACTTCATCTTCCCCCTTGGGTACCTAAGAGGTGGATTTCCTTGGATTCTCCAGGTACATCGCTCTGTCCGAGGCAGATGCAAGCAGCCATCCTGTTGTGTTTGTCTGTACATTTGTGTATCTACCTCACTTCGCTTTTCTTTCTAACCACATGTATTCCTGTTGCAAGGGAAATGGAGAGCAGCTGGGTTACGTGGAATTCTGGCTTTTGATGAAAATATATTCTTTCCTACCACAGTAAGAAAGAAACCCTCCATTGCTTTCATTAGCGTTTTGGATGCTTGCTGAAATTTTCAAAAGGAAGGAATTGTTTACCATTTTTGCTGCTTCTTGTGTCGTCCCCACTCTTGCATCTCTGGAGTAACCCTCGCCCAGTCACATCTTTCTCCTGTGGTATCTGCATTCCACGTGCTTGGTTTTGTGTCTGCAGTGGCAAGGCCCGGCGTCTGCCCTGCCCGCAGCCGGGGCCGTGGCCCTGTTGCACACCGTGTGACTCGCCACTCCCTTCTAGGCTGCATTAATTAAAACAGAACTGAACGCCCAACTCTAGGGCACCAGCAGTCCACAGAGCTAGCTGGAGACCATGGACCGTGCCTTTCAAGTCTGAGGAAAGCAAACAAGGAAACGTGTTCGAAATTGGATCGTGGAGAGAGCCACACGCACAGTGTGTAGAGGAGCTGCCCCCGTGGGGCAGTTGAAGATCTGCGCCAAGTTGAAGACCTGTGGTCTTTCCTGGCCTGCCCAGCACTCCCTCCCTCCCAGCACACCAAGGGAGGCCTGACTGCATTGTGTTCTTGGACTGCTGGCGACCGCCTCTTGTCAGTCCACGAGTGTCCCCAGCAAGGACCTGGCCCTTGACTGGAGCCAGTTTAAGTCTCTGCTTTTTGCAGTTTGTCCAAGAGCCAATTACATTTGACCATTTGGCTGCTTTGTGAGAAGAATCACATTGCTGGCGTCCCTCAAGCTCTCCTCAGCCAGCATCCCCGGCCCAAGTCCCACCTGACTGCTGTGACACCTGTTTAAATGTGGTACCGTATTCTGTTCACTAGGATGGGTGAAATCTAGGCCTTCTGTCTCAGTGAGTTTGACCAGCGGCTTTCTGTCTGCATATTGCTCCTTTCCTGAACCAGCATTTGAGCATATAATGAGTTCATCACAGCCCACCCTGTTCTCTATTTGGAAAGTGTTTCACTGTTTCCGGCCAATTCATTGGATTGGGGAATTGATCACGCCTCTCTGAATAGTATACTTACATTCTGTAGTTCTCATTTCGTCATTTGGGGTTTGCTTTCCAAACTAGAAATGGCCTCTTTAAGCTTGACCCTCAACGTTCCCTGCATATCTCTGAGAACAGTAGCTGTGTCCTGCCCCCGTTTGTATTTCAGTTGTGGATGCTCTTTTGTTGTCCCTCCCAGATTTCATTCCCTAGTCTGTTTTCTGGCACTCACTATAATCAGCCTTGCACTAGAGATGTTTGTGGACTTGGCTTCTCCTCTCTCCCACCCAAACCCTCCCCCACCCATTAGATTGTGAGCTCTTAGAAGACAGGGGTGGCCCTCATGTCTGATCCCCTACCAAATCTAGCACAGTGCCTTGCATCGAGTAGATTTCAATAAATATATGTTAAATGGCATTGGTCTTCCCTGGCTTATTTTGTCAAAGTTTTGTTTATCAGTTCTTCCCTTGGTCCTTTCTCCTCACCATGGAGTTCTGCACAAGGAGAGCCACCACTTGGTGGGTCCCAGTGCTGTCCCAGTCCCTGTTGGGACTGACTACGTCAGCATGAGGAGGCACCCTGATTGGGGGAGGGGTTGCCAGAAACTTTGAGCTGTTCCTTTCATCCAGCCGGTGCCTGTCCCCATCACTGCCAGGGCTCCCCGGTCTGAATTCTAATTAAAAACAGAAGATAAGGCCAGAATTTCAGCTCCTGCCTCGGGGAGCAGGAAAGGGTGATGGAGAGGGAGAAGCAGAGGGTGTCAGTCCTCTTGGTGGCCAGTGGCTGGCCCTCTTCCTGGTGACCAATGGCTCAGTAAAGGGAGCATCTCCCCTAGCCCCGGTTTCCTGACCCATCCACCCTTCCAGATGCAAGCGGGCTCAGTGGCAACCACAGCTGCCCAGCTATGGAGGGACAAGCACAGAGTGGGCTCTACAGTGGCAGGCCCAAGGCAGAGGCCAACAGGAGGGAGCACCATCCTAGAAAGGGGCTGTCTCCCTTGCTTCTGGCAGGGACCCAGGCAGGGCCTGTGTCATCTTTCCTCTAGGGTCCCATGCTCATCACTGCTGTCATTTCCCCCAGCCCGGTACAGCTCTGAGCAGGTAGCAGGATGCCTGACACCTGTGACAAGGCAGCTGCCTCCCAAAGCCCCTGTCCTGGCCTGGCCTGGCCAGCTCTGCTTGCAAGCCATGGGAAAGAACCTTCTGTTTGCTGTGCTGGCTCTGTGCTTTTGTGCTGACATTTCCATCTGAGTGCGCTTGCAGCACAGGTGAGCTCTGCTGTTCGGGCAGCCTGGGACTCCTCAGCGGGGCCCCTTGGGCCTCAATAGGGCTGTTCAGAACATCCTTGCCCCTCTCCCTGTGCCCCTGCCTTCCTGAGCCTGGTCACTTCCCCAGAGCCACCTCAATAGAACAAACAAGAAGCCATCTGATGGAATAAGGTTGTGCTTTGGGGCTCTGCCTCCAACTGGAACATTCAGACATCCAAAATGACTGCAAAGACTGCAGCCCCTGGTGGTCCTCAGCTTGCTACCCATGGGCCTGTCTTAGTCACTTCCTCACGGCTGCTGAGACACAATACCCAACACTCACACCTTGGAGGAGAGCTTTATTTCGGCTCACATTTCAGCCCATAGTCCATGGCTCCAAGGCAGTACAGCAGGGCAGAGGAGAGCTCAAGGCCTGGTGGACAGGAAGCAGAGAAGGAAGGGAGGACCAGGGAGGGAAATAGACCCTTCCAGGCCACACCTCTGTGACTGCCTCTTCTGACCACACCCTGCCTCCTAACAGCAATTCAGCTGTGAGCCCCCAGGATCCCATCATCTTCCAAATCCCCGCCTATGAGCACCTAAGGCCCTGGGACACATCTGACATAAAACACACCAGCCCAAGCTCCCACCCCATCACACCCTCTGCCCCAGTGCATTTCTCGTGAAAGTCCCACCCAGGAGGGACTACTGGAGCATAGAGAGAAACAGCTTTTGCTCTGATGCTCACTGCATTTCAGCCCCCCCCCCAGGTCCCCTGAGCCGTCCCTGAGGGTTCCAAAGCTGTCTCAGGCCACCCTTACCAGCTCCTCCAATAGTCAGGCATTTGTCCCACCTTCCAGCCTGGGATACTGGCTCAAAATGCATTTCCTTGCAAAGCTGGCCACGTAGTAACATGGCTCCATGTTTTTTCTAGGCAAAATAGGTCAGAAAAATCCCTCTGCTTCCTCACCTCATCCTTTTTCTGATCTTTATTCAACACGCATTTATTGAGCACCTGCTGTGGTGGTCTTAGAGATGCAAAAGCAAATGACAAGGTCCCTGCCCTCAAGAAGGAAATGGATGTGGACCCAAAATGTCACCACAAGTGGGACCTGCGAGAAACCTCCACCAAGCTGCACTCCTAGGATTTCTACACTTTAGTGGGTGTGGCTTGCACTTCCAACTAAAAGAAGCTGCAGGGTCAAACAAAAATTTGCACAGTATCAGCACACAAGCTCCCTCTCTCCATCCTCAGGCTCTGCAGTGTTGTCCCTCTCTGGTGGCACCTCTCCATCCCTACCCTGCCCTGCCCCTGCCTCTGCCCACCTCCCTGGTGCCCCTGCCTCTGCTTTGCCACCATGGTTCCTGGTCTACCTGCCGACAGCCTGCTCTTTCCTTCGGTACTAAAAAAAAAAAACAACTGCTGGATGCCCAGTGGGCCACCTGTGCTTCAAGAGCCGCTCACTGACAAGGGGCTAGTGGCTTGTGTCACCTCCTCAGCTACTTCACACTTGGGAGCTGACATTGAAGCTCTCTGTCCTTCCCTGTTCTCTGCCAACCACCAGAGGCTCAGATCTTTTCTTCCCTACTGGAAATTCTGCAGAACACTGAGCTCCTGCCACAGGGCTCCCTCGGCCCACAAATGCCTCTTTTCACTGCTGTGCCTTCTTTGGGCCTCCAGGTGTCTCCTGCCCTCCCCGCCTCCCAGCCTCCTCCACCTCTCAGCCTCCCCTTCCCGAACCCCAGAGAGGGAGCCCCCAGAGCGCCCCGGGGACGTCTCCTTGGGGTGCGTGCGGGACACAGCGCTCCCACCCAGGGGCCCCGCGGGACGCAGCCCCCGCCCGACCTCCCCTCGCCCCGTCCCCATCCCCCGGTCCCCGCAGAGGGAAGCCACGGAGATGATGGACCAGGTCGTCCGCTGGGTGCGGGAAGACCCGTCAGGGCTGGGCCGGCCCCCGCTCTCGGGACCCTGGCCGCCGAGCCCATGACGGTGCCCATGATGCTGCTGAGCCTCGTGGCGCAGCTCGGGGACCACGACAAGGCGCTGGCCGCAGATACGCCGAGCTGGGGGACTGGTGCGCCCAGAGGATTCTGCGGCACGTCCAGGTTGGGGGTGCCTCCAGGTGCCTGCGGGGCTGGAGGGAGGGGTCCGAGCCCAGGAGGGGCCTGATCCGCATCCTTCCGAGGCCCTGGGCACCCGAGCCTACCGTTCTGGGGCACATCCAGGTTGGGGGCTCGAGCGCCTCCTCTGCTCACCCCACCGGCCCTCGAGCTTCATAGAGAGGGAGACCGGGGGGCTTGGGAGGCGAGGGGCGCACAGTGGTGGAGCAGGGCTGGAGGGAGGAGGCTGAGGTCTGGGCAGCTCCTAAGGGCAGGAAGCCTGGACCTGTGCCCCCTCCAGGCAGCTACTGACACAGAGGGAGGCCAGTGTCCTGGTGGCAGATAGTAGTTGGGTGTCAGGGCTGGTGATGACTCAGTCTTGGCTTGGAAGCTCCCTGCTATGGTGTGAATATATGGTTTGTTCTCACCAAAACTGAAGTAGAGCTTTAGCCCTGGTGTGGCAGTGTTGGGGGGCACCTAGGGAGAGTGTCTGGGTCAAGGCAGCAGAGGCCTCCTGCGTGGCTTCATGCCTTTCTCCCAGGAATGCCTTGGCTGTCCTGAGAATGGGTCACTTACTGCAAATTCACCTTCTTCCCCATGGACTACTTGCCCTTCCATGTTCTGCCATGCCCTTAACAGATGTGGGTGCCCTATCTTGAACTTCCTAGACTCCAGAACTGTGAGCCAAAATGCACCTCTTTTCTTTATCAATTACCTAGTCTCAGGTATTTTGTAATAGCCACAGAAAGCGAGCTAAGACTATCCCCGCAGCCCGAAGCTGCCTGCAGGCTTGGGTGGACAAATGGGAGGAGCTGAATGACTGGGGGCTATTGACCTTGACCCTTGAGAAGTCCCACAGCACCAAGTCCACTCTGGAAGAGAATTAAAATCGCCTTTGTCCAACACCAAATGGCCAAAGGCAAAGCCCAAATTTAACCTTCAGAGAATAACTTCTAATACTAACAATTCTGCCATTTATCCCCAAACATAACTGTGCTTGTACTCTCAGTATCCATTTTCATACTTCAACTTTCAGATTAGGCCTTCTAGGACAGGAACCAGGGCCACTGGGCCTTGGTGCCCACCGTTGGCTCTAGGGTCCCTTCCTGGCCCTTGCCGAATTCCTCCCGAGGCTGCCTGATGCCAATCGCCCCAGGGAGTAGCTGGACTGCAAGAAGAAAATTTGTTCCTAGGATTAAAGTTTGCTCAAATCTCAAAAGCCCCATACCTTTAACTACTGAAAACAGTGGGGATCTAGAGCAGTCTTGAGACAAGATTCCCTTTCAATTTTTCAGTAATTGTTTTCCTGAAGCATTTCAGAAAGTCTGGTTTGAAGCTTGTTTAGTTGTGATAAAGAAGTTTTTTTGAGAACTGCCTTTTTCCCTAATGCTTTATTATTTTATTCATATTTTCATATTCTTTATTATTTTTGGAATCAGGGGTGGTTTCTCAAAGACATAACTGCGTACAATTTTAGAATTTTTCCTCCGGAAGAATCTGCTTTCTTTCTTGCTTGCAAGATGAGAATTCTCCCTGGGACTTTTTCTGAAACCACTTATGACCTAAATGAAGTCACACAACTAAATATTCAATTCCATTCCTAAAGTTCCTTTATTTAATGCCACAGATCCTACTATGCCCGACCATTGAGTGAGATTATTATTTTGTGTTGTATTCTTATTTAAAAATTATGAACATTCTTCATGTTGTATTACTTTTAAGTTTATTTTTAACTACACAATCAAAACAGAAACACAGCTTCATTTTCAGATATTTAACAAGTCTGACAAAATCAAAGCCCCTTTTAACCATCCTTTGCCCCCTCCCAGTCCTCCCTTTTCCAGAATTTGTCCCGAAATTTCCTGCACATTCACATGCCTATATACAACAGAGAATGACCATGCTCCATATTTATCCTGTACCTTACTTTCTTCACCTAACTAAGCATGCCTGGGAGAGGGCTCTGAACTACACCTTGGTGTTCCAGAGCATGGATGTAGTGAGGTTGGTTGGCATTTTTGGGCTTTTGCTAATGCAAATAGCATTGCTCCTACAGCCTTGCCCCAGTCTC